TTGCAGATATATAACACAGGTACATTTCTGAAATATTTCTAAATTGAATTTGTACAGTATCAGTTATTTTAGCTGTGTCAAGGAAGGAGAAATTGAACAGCAAAGTGTTCAGTACTTAATTTCCACATTTAATTTTTAAGAAGATAATTATGTAGATTCATATTTTCAAGATGATACAGTACAAAAAACACATTCATGAGTTTTTTTCTGGTTGTTGTATAAGTTAAGCTACCATTTAATCAAAACTCCCTAAAGATTAATAGGTGACTTAAATGTGCTTTTTGAAAAAAAATCTTATATGCTTCTGGAAAACTACAACTGATCATTTTAGATTCTATAACAGAAATATGAGATGTTCATCTTTAAACAATAAACAAAACCAATCCATGAGATTCTTGATCCTATTTATATCAAAAAGATTGTTGACTTGAAGTTTAAAATCTGAAATCTGATATTTAATAATAAAATTTTACTTATTACTTATTAGAAATAAAATGCTTTTGGGCAGTGGTGGCGCACGCCTTTAATCCCAGCACTCGGGAGGCAGAGGCAGGTGGATCTCTGTGAGTTTGAGGCCAGCCTGGTCTACTGAGTGAGTTCCAGGACAGGCTCCAAAGCTACAGAGAAACCCTGTCTCAAAAAGAAAGAAAGAAAAAAAAAGAAAGAAAGAAAGAAAGAAAGAAAGAAAGAAAGAAAGAAAGAAAGAAAGAAAATGCCTACCAAATCAAGAATACACATGACATTATATAATTTTTTTATGAACTGACCACCACTGGAGGTGGTGCCAACATTCAGTCATATTCTAGCTTACATGGACTTCGTCGTACTCTCTGTACCATTTACAGTAAAAGGAGAACCGTAGTCTCCTGGCAATCAGTGCAGATTACCTTCTGCTACCTAGAGGTTTGTCCTCAACATCCATTCTTCCTAAAGACAAGACATTAAAACAGAGAGCACTAAAATGAGCATACATGGGAGAGACAAGGATACTAAAATGGGCGTGCATGGGAGACACAAGGATGAAGACAGACTTGGATACACACATTTATTTGGAAGACAGTTGATTTTCCTATCTATTTCTATATCTAGTATATAACTTTAAAATAATAATATAAATTGTAAATAAAATAGTATACTATATAGCTCCACAGAGAGATAAACACAAGAATATACACATCCAGATGAAAAACATAAAAAAGCAGCAAACTTATTATGACTATAGTGACATTATTTCAAACAAAGAATAGTTCATCATGTATAAAAGCATTTAGCAGTCCAATGTTTGACAAGTCTCCAAATATCAAGTGTTTGTATGTCTGTACCTAGAATATACCTTGACAGTAAAATAGTAAAAATCACTTGAAGGAAAACTGTGTAAAATCAAATTTCAGTTGGACTCCATGTATCTATTCACTAAAACTTTTTTCTGAAATACATAAAAGCATTGATATTTTCTATAAAACTCTAGTGAGAACATCAGTTTGCTCCACGCATATAAAACCAGCAAGTCTTTCTCCACGTTCCCGTGTTCTTCACAGAGTCACTTGCTCACAGTTCTCTCCAATACTCAGCATGGACTGCTTTTTCCTCAAGAGGTTTACTTTCCAGGAACAGTATAAGCTCAAGAAAACAGACTCAACAATTATGCAATAGAATTATGTCATAACAATCTAATTGCACATTATGCTTTGAAAGTAGGTTTGGATGAAGTTCTCAAACACTTTGGTATATGTTCCTCAGGGACTTCTACTACAAGTAACAGAAAAATCTAAGTTCCTTCAATCCCCATTTTGCATTAAAATGGACAAGTCTTTGGTTAAAGGTCCACATTTTGGGCATTTATCATCAATTAAAATGGTCCCCAAACTGCTAAATGGTGCTGTGTCCCGGTTCACAGACCTCATGGAACCTGTTTCTGATGCAGCTGGATGCACTAATGTTCCTCTGCTAACGCTACCGCCAGCTCCAGTCTTTGACTAACAACAGAGAAATCACCAGGGTTTCACTTCTGAGTTTTCTGTCGTAAACTGTACACCAATTTGCAGTTAACTACAGACACTTCCACAGAATGGATTAAGGTTAGAGTGCTAGAGAGCATTCACTTTAGAGTTAGCTTATTCTGACAGGTCAATATTAGGTTGTAGATGAGTCTGCGTTAACTACAGGAAGTTGCCATGTAATGCTTATTGTAAAACCCCAAACCATTCCACGTACAAGAGAAACTGTGGCAAATGTATAAAGCAGCAGATATACAAGGCGAACACCAAATATACTATACTAGCACAAGAAAGCAGCCAGAACAAGGCACCGCAAGCAGAGACAGATGCTAGCAGTCAAAGGGTCAGTGCTGCATACAAACATAGCATTTCTTTTCAGTAGCCCAGGCAATAGCCAGAGGGATATAAAATAGCCTTTGCAGCAGCTGGCGTGGACCCCAGGAGTGCTCACCAGCGGGCACAGAGCAGTCACAGACAACAAGAATGGACTTGGTTACTGTAGTGCAAATGTCTAGGACAGAGCCTAGAACTCAGCCCAACACTGAGAAGCAACACTAGAATCTGACAATACTTCCCAAAGCGCTCACTCAATTTGTGCTACATACTATTCTAAGTGACAAAAGGTGCCAAATATTAAGTTCTTGGTAGAACTTCTTCATTTTTCTGTGGGACTCATAAACAGTTTGAGTTCCATTTTAGGAACTAGTATTTTCACATTGTGATCTCTTATCTTTAATTATGCCTATGTATGTATCTATGTGTGGATATATGCATGTGAGTGTTTGTGCCCAAAGAGGCAGGTAGGAGTGAAACTAGAGTCACTGGCAGTTGAGAGCCAGTCAGCGTGGGTGCAGGGACTGGAACTCAGGTCCTCTGCACAAGCAGTACACACTCAACTCTTGAGCCGTCTCTCCAGATTCCCTCATGCTGTGATTTATGCTAATGCGTTAAGAATCTTACTGAAAAATTCTCCTAAGATTAAAATAAAATGTTTACCAGGCTAGAAGTTCAGTCCCACATTTCTCTGAGATTTCTATGGAGGCAGTAAGTCTTCAGGCTTTTGGAAAGGTCAAACTAATTTCATTCTTAGTGGTAGAGTAATAAGATTTGATTAAAAAAACATACTTGCAGATTAAATATTTATAGAGTATTAAAAGAATATTATTCTTTGCACTTATTGGCCTCCTTGACTTCCAGGTTAAAAGAATTATTCCTGAAAATAAATTAAATTCACTTGAACCAAATGTTTACCTTATTTGTTTTTCTCTAATCTTTCTCCTTCCTTCTCTTCCCCCAGGACTAAAATGAAAGAATGACCCTTCAGATAAAGGAAAAAGGCAGTTTCTCAGTTGTGGTGGTGTAGGGTGACTGATGGTACAGAGTTTAGACTTGCTTAGTGGCCCATTTCAGCGGAACTAGGCATGCAGAGCAAAACAATGAACTTGCACTTCAGTTTTTCAGTCACCACATTAAGATCAACTTAAAGAACTTTTTGTCAGTTTTTAGTGTTTGATAAAAGTCAAAGTAACTTTGGATAATGGCATACAGCTTACGGGTCAGAACTATCAGTAAATGCCAGGCTGAAGTAATATTTTCCGTTCTGTTCCTTTTACTGATGGGAGTGGTAATGTCATGAGTGTGTTTTCAACAGGATCCTCAAAATGGCTATAATTACCACCAAAATCTCTGTTGTGGAATGTTTGCAGGCATGGCCACTGCTGCACTCGCAAACTTCAGACAGCTTTGGTTATCAACAGGAAATCTACACTAGATTGGAACCATTCATTTTCTGTTGTGGAGGTGGGAGTGGGTTCACAAAACCCTCCGTACCCCCGAGAATTTATAAACAGCTTGCAATTGCTAAAGGAGAGAACTCATGAGGTTACCCATTCTCCAGAATATACGGTCAGTTGAAGGTTGCTGGGGAGGAGGGAAATTCACAAGCATATGTAACAGCTTCCTTCATCTTTACAGCAGGTGCTATGAGGAATAATAATATTGTTACTGTTTTGTTGATGAAAAATCTAAATCAGAGAAATCGGGGGTAGTAGTAGCCAGTTCTTCTATTAGTGGAACAAAATTACCTGAGATGAAAAAATGAAAAAGAAGGGGATTTCTTTCAATGGCTGCTTGACTCTGTTTTTTAGAGATTGTAAAAACACATGATAACAAGATCATGTAGGAAGGGATGCGTATACACTTTCTGGTGGTCAGAAAGCAAGAAACCAGGGTCATGCTTTCAGTGACTTAAAATTTCTAACTAGATCCTACCTCTTAAAGATTTCACCCCTTCCCATTGAGACATTGTCTTCAACATATGAACCTTTGGGGAGCACACTAGATCTATCAGGTTTGAATTATGATGTCAATCTATGGATTTATATGTTTGAAAACTTGGTTCCCAGATGGTGGCATTGCTTTGACGGTTTATATAGGCTTCCTAGGTTTAAGGCTTAACTGCTGAATGTAGATTTGCACAGGTGGAAGTTGAGAGCTCTAAGGGCCAGCTCTGCTTTAAGTCTGTGTTTCTGCTTCCTGGATTGCTAGGACATGATATCATCGTCATCATCATCATCATCGTCATCATCATCATCGTCATCATCATCATCGTCATCATCATCATCGTCATCATCATCCTTTCCTTAGCCTGATGGATGGCATTCTCTGAACTGTAAGCCCAGGTAAATTCTCCCCCCTCACTTGCTTGTACAGTTACAGCAATGTAAAAGTAACACTGTAGCAAGTTGCTCAATGAGACAATCGGACATTCCAGAGTTGGGGAGTCTTTCTTCTTTGCTACTAGGTTGGCTCATTAACATTCTATTATTTGCTCATTTTCATCCTCTTCTCTGGCTAAATGGTATAGTGCTGAAGCCATTTTCAAATATTTGGGCTCCTTCTGGAAAGTCATAAAAATCCCTGGTCAGTAACGTCTAGTGTTACTGTCACATCACCAATCAAAATTATTGCAGTCAAAAGGGCAAAACAAAAAACATGCATTACCTTATTCTCTTTTCTTCCACTTTTTTCAAATATTCATCTCTCTTTAGGACTCCCAGGATCATTTCCTTCTCATGGTCTAATAAAAATGACAGATTGATGAACTCTGAGTTCTTAGACATGGTATTTCCGCAGCAGTTCAGTGTGGCAGTGCTTGAATCTTCCAGAAGGCAAATGGATATTTACTATTGTTAAGGTTCTCCCTGGCCAACCCAGAGTCGCAGTGGTTCAGTTAAGAGGGTTTCTATAAGGTCTCCACAGATTTGCTGACAAGTGCTGGGTATTCTTTCAGGTTACAGAGAAAGCATGTTATACTGAGATTACAGGCCATGAAAGTCATTGTTTGCACTGAAAAACTAATTCTCTAAAGGCTTTGCTGCGGTACCCAGTCAGCAGCTAAGACTCACTAATGATGCTGAACTTTGATCTCTCAAAAGCTTCAGAACAGGATTCAATTCCTCTGGGCCAAGAATGTAGAAAACACTAAAAAGTTGGAAAAAATAAAGATGAGAAAAGTTAATTAGGCCATATCACACATAGCACCCACTCAGCTATTCAATTTTTGAAATATTGGTGTACCTAGCTTGAGCACAACATTCAAATTAATAAAAATACATAGACCTTGTGTATGTGTGAGAGAGAGAATATGTGTGTTGTGTGTGTGCGTGTGCGTGTGCATGTGTGTGTGCATGTATTTAGTACTACTCACAGTTCTAGGTAGTCACTGGATATGTTGGAACACACTGCCTCCAGGTAGAAGAAACAACCATGCTGAGGAGGAGATGCACTTAAACTACTTGTCTTGACAACATAAGAAGGTCACCAGGCTCTAGATCATGTCCTTAACTTAGTTTTGTACCTGGATTCTCTTTTTATAACCCCCTAAAATTATAATTATTACAGTGTCTGCCAGATTTGGGGATTGCTACCATCCTAAAATACTGTACCTCAGGGTTCCCTCACACCTATGAACTATGAGCTACATAGTTTCCTTGGTTCTTGCCAGGCTTCTAGAAATAACTATATACCTATTCAAAGGCAAGGCTGCTATGGGACAGCCAACTAACCATGGTGTCAAACTGACCTAAAATATACTAGTTGATTCAAGAGAAAAGGATCTTTTTCAGAGCCTCTGTAACTTTTCAAAGCCATTAATGTATTGTACTCGGTGTGCACCAACCAGAACACTGCTGTAATGACTCCAAATTGAAATAATTCCTACAGACCAAGAAGTAGCTCCATTTAAGGAAATGTCCCAGGTCCTTCCAGACTGGATTTACTGGAGGTCTTTTGTCAATCTGCAAGGACTATATTAGACTGCAGAGATTAGAAATGAAGAGGAGGCAGCAAGGTCAAGGACAAGGGAGGCCCTACAGAAAACACAATGCTTGGCATAAGTGCCAGTGTCAGTTGCTGTCTCCCCAGAGAAAGTAAACAATTTGCTTTTTCATCCTTGTGTATCTCATCTGTTTTTAAGCTGAAATGGAAAAAATAATTGGAAATTCAGTGACTTTTAGTCTCGGTTTACTTGCAACATACTTTATTCCTAAAATGTCAAATTTCATATGCCCTACATGCATATTTTACAGAGTGGATTTTTTAAAATATGCAAGAGGTTGGAAATGCTTGAAGTAAATTAATAGTTAAGCATGTCTTGACCTGCAGATAGAAGTCTGCCCTCTTAAAATCAATGAGTTTATACCGTGAGTGAATCAAAGAAGAGAAGGCTGACAAGATGAAATAGTAAAGATGCTTGCTACCAAGCCTGATCATCTGACTTTGATCTCTATGACCTACATGGTGGAAGAATTGAACTGACTCCGGTGAGTTGAACTCTGACCTCTGCATTCACATGCTGCATGCATCCACCCACTCACTCATGCACTCAATAAATAAATAAATAAATACACATAAAAGTTGATAAAGGAAAGGAAGTAAACTATAAAAGTGAGAAAAGAGGGGAATTTAGAGAATTCAACAGAAACAAAATTGAATTGGCAGAAAGTAATTTAAAATATGATCCTTTTGTCTGTATGTGGACTAATATACTAATATATTAGTACCTGGATTGGCATATAAAATGGTGACCAAAGAGATCATAAGTAGTCAAAATTTCATCAAGAAAGTCAGGCTATTTCTCTGGAAGGCAGGACTGGACAGTGATTACAGTTTTAGTAAGAGTATCTTACTGAAGATGCTGAGAAACACAAGGTGAAAGAAAGAAGATGGTGAGTCTTGGCATAGTTAAGGGAGACTAAATTGAGCTGCAACTAGTTTACCTAACTATGTGTCAATTTATAAAACCTTTCTTCAGCGACATTGTAGCTCTGCTTTAGGAATCCTTTACTACCAACGCCCTTTAACAAAGAAAAATGAGAGAGAGAAAATGAGTTATCTATTCTAATCCTTTTTTTTAAAACACACTCTGAATACTAGTCAAATTAGAAGGGATAAACTCATTTATACATTATTCTTACTTCCTTTTGTAGCTAGAGCTTTTGGCTTACAAACTTCAAATGTGTTTTCCTCTCTGTGTGGTTAATAGCCTTGATGAACTGGGCTAATTTCTTCTGTTTGGGACATTGGTCACTTTGGACATGTAATTAACTCCAGTATTCTACAAAGATGTTACATCAGTAATTACCACAGCTTCAAATAGACACAGGAGTCTTTTTTTAAGTATCTGTTTCAGACAACACACAGTAGAAAATAACAAGGGCTAATAATGTCTAAGTTAAAAAATAGGTACGTCTGAGTATATGTCATTAAAATCTATTTTATTTGAAAACAATCTCTCTCCTTTCCCCCTCTCCCTCTGTGTATGTATGTGTATATATACATGTATATATTTGTGTGTGTCCTTGGAGGCCATAAGTGAGTGTTATATAGTGATATTTTATTTGTGTTTTAAAATAAAGCCTGCCTGAAGATCAGAGTGTAGAGTGTTCAGTTTGGTAGAGAGTATTGCAGTCTGCAGTCACACTGAGGACAGGATTGCCCCTTTGTTTGTCTGAGCCTTGGTAGAGGTAAGAAGTCCATAGTGGCTTAGCTGCTTTGCTTTTCTGATCTTCAGTTTGAACCTCAATATTTGTCTCTGGGTGTTTATTAGTTATGCTACACCTGGCACCCAATGTTTGGGGTATGAATTCACAAAAGAGCCATTTGCTTATGACTTTGTAGCCACTGGCAGAGGTTGGAGTTACACATGCATGGCTAGAGTCACCACCCTACCGCTAGTTTTTATTTTCTTCTCTCCTGGTGGGCTTTCCCTGAACCCTCTTCTCAGGCTGTTGCCAAACTAAGTAGCTGCCTTGAAATTCAGTCAGGCTTTTACTATTCTACACAGCAGCAATAAGCCTCACATCTTCATCATCATTGGTGGCAAATTTGGTGAGAATATTAGAAATTATTTAAGGGAGGAATTAGTTAAAAGGGAAAGCTTTTTTCCATATTAAAAAATGGGAAACATGAGTATGATGAGAAAGTTGTCTGTATGATTATGCAATGAGTAATTCTAAAATGGAACAACTAAATGAAGGGATAATCATCTTAACTGGGATTGACGTACGGTTAATTATCATTTTGATAATCCTTGTCATTTTGATAATTCTTGGTTTATCTCTTAAAAAGTTGTTTAGTTTGATTGCCAAGATAAAGACCTGAGAAAAACTTAATAAAACAGATCACAGAGATATTTAGATCCAGAAAGAGGAATTTAATGGAGAACCAAATTCAGCATTGCATTATAAGTTAGAGAGGAACATCCTAAGGTTTTCAAACAACCAACCTTATTACATCCAGTAATTTTACAGGAATTGCCAAGTGATAGAGGCTTTGTAAGACCTAATTGGACTCCTGTGCCAATGTTAGATTTAAGGAGATTCAAGGAAGTGATAGTCTCATAAGTCATGCATTTGCTTTTATGAAGCAAATATTCAACTTGTGATCAGTTTGTAATAGCATTATCCCTAAAGACTGGATAGACTTGATTGAAGCTGTTTTAGAGCCCGGACAATTACAATGGAGCATCTGGTTCAAAGAAGAGGCTAAGATTATTGAACAATGGAGTAAAGCCAGAGGTATGGAAATCTCCCAAGATCAAATTCTTGGAAAAGGAGACTATGCTACTATAAAAAGGAAATCTTTGTATAATGACTCTGTACTCACTTATACTGTGCACCAGCTTGGAATGCTTGTCACAGAATTGGAGAAGTAGGAAAGAAAATCAAGTCATTTACTAAAGTTATACAGCCCCCCACAAGGAAGCCTTTACAGATTTTTTTTTTTAACAAAGATTGACTTCAACACTAAATATAATGATACCAAATTCAGAAGCTAGACAAATAATAGTTGAATCTCTGGCTTTTGAAAATGCTAATTCTCAATGTAAAATAATAATAGGGCCTTTAAGAATAAAGTCAGCACCCTTGGAGGATTGAATCTGAAATACAATCAGTATTGAATCTCATGAGTCATAATGATTCTTAGATAGGAGAGGTGATTTCCAGAGGTCTGAGGAAAAATCGAAATGTCAAGTGTTATAATTGTGGCAAACGATGTTGCCTTAAAAGAGATTGTAGCCAGGCAGTGGTGGTGCATGCATTTAATCCCAGCACTCAGGAGGCAGAGGCAGGTAGGACTCTGTTAGTTAAAGGCCAGCCTGGTCTACAGAGAGTTTTTCAGGACAGGCTACAAAGCTACACAGAAAAACTCTGCCTTAAAAAAAAAAAGAATTGTAAGCAGTGCATTCCTAGAAACAATGTTTTTCTTAAGCATAATCCAAGCAGAACACTCTTCCCTTCTTGATTATGAAGAAGGCCTGACAAAGGTAGGTATTAAACTAATAAACACAGATCAAGAAAAGATATTCAAGATAATCATTTGTCATCAGGAAACTCCTTGAGGGGCCTCTTATAGGTCTCTATGACAAATGTGGTTCAGTTATTTCCTGTCATCATGGAGAAAATTCCTTCCCAAAGAAATTAAAAAGCCTATTGTAAGAAACCATACTGCTTTTGATGATGGAATAGCAATAGAAGACAAAACAAAAATTTCAGGAGAAATCCTAAGTCCAAATTGATAAAGATTATATTAGGAACCTCCCCAAAGTTAGGGTTGGGGA